TTGAGAAGGAGGAGAACAAAGCATTGACCAAGAGGAAGGAAGACAGAGGAGAATGTGGAGTTGAGAGAGAAATTTAGATGAGAGCGGAGATCGTGAAATGAGGGAGATATGAAAGATATAGTCAATAGAAATCAATAAAAGTTTAAGCGTTGTTGCATAATGATAAGGATAACGAACGGGAAACGAAAAGCCTTGGAGTTTCATTAAAAGCTCATGGCTATCGTGGATAATGTGAATGACTACATTAGCTGAAGGAATTTTTTGCATTATGCGTGGAGTTCAATTGGCCATGTCACTTGATGGAGATTTAAATTCAAGCCAAAGGGGTTGGTGAGTTTTCGTATTCAGCACATTAATTAATGAGTTATGGAAGGTTAAGAGTCTAAGACACTAATTAAAGCTTACTATTGTGATGAGGAGAAAATTAGAATTAAGTAATTTGTAAAGGACAAAATGGGTATGAAAAAGTTTTGACATGGGTATTCTCTTTTATAAGTAGTATAGATTATAGCATTACCCTCATTTTAGACCTAACTCCTATGGATGACCCCACTTATAAATGTGATGACCCCACATCCACAGAAATAAATCTATCTCCGGCGCTCCGCCCAACACACTCACTAACTCTCAACGGGATGAGTACTTCAAATCTCTCATATTTTGGATTAGTCCTTCAAACCTTTATGTTTTGAAATTAGTCCCACAGATCTTTAGGTATTTTAAATTAGTCCTAAATCTTCATATTATGAATTTAGTCTCCAAACTTAGTCCTTCTAAATTAGGTGTTTTCAAATTAGTTTCCAAACTTCTTAACTAGTGCTAACTGGAGGGACTAATTTCAAACTACTTAAAGGTTTTGAGGGACTAATTTCAAACTACTTAAAGGTTTTGAGGGACTAATTTCAAAGCATGTTTGAGTGACTAATTTACAGAGGTCATTCTTAATTCTCAAAACTCTTCTCTCACTAGTAGAAAAATGAGCAACCTAGACGGAAACTTCCATCTAGGTTGATCTAATTTCTGTCTAGATTGGTTCACCTAGATGGAAATCCGTCTAGTTTGCTCCGTCTAGTATATTTCCGTCTAGATTGGGGCAAACTAGACGGAATTCCGTCTAGGTTGACCAACCTAGACGGAAGTAAGAATTCCGTCTAGGTTGGCAACCTAGACGAAATTCCGTCTAGGTTGCTTTGCTACAGTAAGTTTTTTTTTTTTTGCAAAAACTACATTGCACGCTATATAATATCACATGTACACAATATTGCACAACAGCAATTCTTATTCATATCCAACACAATCGATCTAATTATATTTCAATATCAAATATAATTATATTCAAATAATACATTCACCAAAATACTAGAAAGATACATAAATTTTTTACATAGATTATAAAAAATACAATTGTTTACATAACTTGATGAAGTTTGTATAATTTATAGAATCCAATTGCATTTACTCCTCCAATTTGTTGAAGCATCATGTTTCTTCCTCCTTGATCCTACATTATACAAAATTCAACATCAATTAGTCCATGCCATGAAATACACTACAAAAAATGATACACTAAATAATGATCAGGAATATTAGCTTCTTAACATCACTCTAAAATTCAACATCAATTAGTCTATGCCATGAAATACACTACAGAAAATGATACACATGCGTGATACAAAAGTACCTTATTTATAGCTTTCTTAACATCTAATTTGACAGCTGATTGGAGATGTCCCCAAAATAATATCGGCTGCTCTGTTAGGATGCACTTGAAGTAAATACAAAATGGATATAAATACTTTCTTTTAGCACATACAAATGTGACCACAAATTGTCTCTGAAATCTGAATGCATAGCCCAATATGCATATCCAGTGCTAGTGAGTCCGAGTGATGGGGGATGAAACAAGAAATAAACAAATTGTCAACCATATATTCAATCATTAACTTCCTAGATACCTCTTTCACACATCTAGAATATGTAAACACTAAGATATACTAAAAAGTATCAATCAAGTACACATCAGGTATGAAGAATATTCAAACTCAGATATGTATCGAATATGGCTAAGGCTTCCTACTCAGAACATAGGCCCGACATATCAGATATACCCAACATAAGATATAGCTTAAAACATCACTAACAAAGACATCATGAGAAAAAATTCGTAAGTAATTTCTTGCTGAATATGGCTACCATGCAGATATAGGCATCCTACATACATATATTAAGTTAAAGTGTAACTACTAAAAATGTAGTCTGTTAATTGGTCTGAAATGAAGCGGATAAAAGGTTATTTTTTCAGTGAAAACCAAAATCGATGATTATAAAAGTTATTTTTCAGTTGCAGTTGTTTTAAATGCAGGTTTTGGGCCTTTATCTGATCTAAATAGAAGAAATAAAAGGTTCATCAGTTAGCATTCAATAGATGTTTTTCAGAATCTTCGTAGGTTATTGGCTTGTCATCAGTGGATTACATTTATTAGCTTTGTTTGTAATTCAGATGATTATGTTTGCCTTTAATTGATTCTTTACATCAGTAAGGTTTCCTTCTATGTTGCTTGAATACTCACAACCAAGAGGACACATTCATATCCAACGCATATTTGACACTTGCACATTTGGATACTTTGCTAGATAGTCCTAGTAGTATCCTAAAATTATATTAATATTCCAAAAAAACGTTAGTTACAAATGCTAGCTTGTCCTTACTTTCGATTTTTCTAGCATCTTGCATTTATCACCCTTAATAAATCACTGTTTGTAGGAAGCATTAACTGTTAATATCTTAGATGACAAATTGTCCCCATTCCTATTCACAAAAACTGTGTGATTGTGATGAGAAAAAGCAGAAGTAACTAAAACATTTTACACAATCACTACTGAAACCAAAATCATTTAGAAGCATGTGCTCTTGATTCTTCAGTTGTTCATCTAACATATCGGGTGCCTTTCTCCAATTTTTTTGTATAAAGAGACATAATACACACTAGAAATATGTGACAAAACTATGAGCATGGTCTGATATTTTATTGTAACATAGAGATTGATGAAATAATGCACTACACATGAATATACCAGTTAACTATAAGATGAGACCCTTTCCAGATTATATGGAGTAATCCAAATACAAAGAAAGTACTAAAACATACCCTTGGAATCTGAACCCCAATGTGCAAGACCACAGTTCACATAATCCTTCAGAATATTAAATCTCTCCCACGAACTAATAATGTCCCAATGCCGTTGTTCCTTAATTTCAGTAAATATCCACGACTGCCCATGGGTTAGTAATAGTCATTTAATTGCAAGAAATAATAGAGACCTCAATTCATTGTCTTCTCATTTGCATAGCATTCTAGCAAGTACCAAAGACTGCTCAGCATAAATTATAAAGAAAAAACACTTCACCAAAAATAGAGAATGAGATATGATCTTGGAACCTCACTTGTTTGAGACATTTAAAGAAATTGCGCTGTATCTCTCTTTGTAAGTCTTCTGGCAAGTTTGCAAGTAGCTCTTCCTCATCTACACCTCGAGTGGCAGCCCAAATAAATCATTATGCTTGCCTCACCTGCCTGAATAATTCAATTCAAAACAAAAAATTGATAAGAAATACTCGCAACCACCAACCACATACTATAGCTACCACTTGTAATCAGTAACCAATAATCAAAATAGCTTGAACCAGGCATTAAAAATAGAACAATTTCATGTGTATATATCGGTGTACTTGTAGACGGGACACACTCCACACCATGATATTTACTTCCGGCGCTATCTTCTACCATTAGTCATTGAAATAGCTCCCAATATAGGTTCAGATTTCAAATTTGAATCAAGAACCAGCTTTGCAAGAAAATGCTGAAACCCAATGATCTAGTACGAAAAACAGTTTAAATTAATATTAAGAACGATTTTCAACATAAAACCCTATTCATTAACTCCAAATCAAGCACCCAAGCAGCAAAATCACAAATTGAAGCTAGGGTTTAGGGCCTCAAACAAAAATCCAAAAAAATTCAAATAAATTCAAAACCTAGGGCATCGACTTTCTCACGTGACTCGCAACAATCCTCGGCATCACTCTCGAAGTCCTCCAATCCATTTGCTCCAAGACCAATTTGAGATCGCCGATGAGGAAGAGAGGCGGGAGGAAAAGGGAGAGGGCGGCGCTGGCAGTGGAGGGGGATGAGGGGATCTCGACGCCGTTTTGGGGAGCAGGCGGTGTGGAGATGAGAGAGAGAGATTTGGGGATTTTGGACGAAGGATGTGAGCAAGTAAGGGCAGGCATAGATCTGACAGCCGGCTGAGAAAAAAGCGCCAGAAAATGGAAATATAGTAGGCGCGGAAGCTGAAAAGACGCGGGGGACGGGAGTTCTCTGTAATTTTTTAGACATCTAGCCACGGAAAAATTTCCGTCTAGGCTGTATCAACCTAGACGGAAATTCCGTCTAGCTTGAGTGTTCATTTAAAATAAAAATAAAACCCGTCTAGTTTGTCAATCTAGACGGAAATTTCCGTCTAGATTGATTCAAACTAGACGGAACGAGGACGGAATTTTTTCCGTTAGTTTGAGGCAAACTAGACGGAAAAAATTCTGTCTAGTTTGTTCCGTCTAGTTTGTTCAATTTTCTACTAGTGTCTTATAGAATCGCAAATAGCAATCTCATTCTCCCTTCCTCAACGATTCTTTTTTCTACAAACCTAGCAAAGCACCTCCGACCTTGCCATTTCATCAACTCCTCCTCAGCAACTTTAGTCCCTCGCCTCTAGATTATCGATCTTCTTCCACCTTGCGAACTATTCTCTGGTTCTCCCCCTCCGATTTATCCTCTTCACCTCGCCACCTTAGTCGCTAACATATATTAAAAGGATGTATTTGATAGTGTTGTAATTATGAGAGCATGCATGTACTTTTTTTCAAAAAAATAAAAACTTGTTGGGGACGATCATAATATTTTTTTATTGTTAATTAATCATGTAGTGATATTACTTTCCAGAAATCCTGAATCCGCCACTGTTGTGCATCACTGAAGACATGAGCACTGGAGCCTTAATTTGAATGTAACTGCAAGTTTGAGAGCCTCATGGATACCATGATCGAGCCTTGATGATGGTGGAAGAGGACATCCAATTAGACATGCACGGTGTAAGTGAGGTTATCTTGAAGATCCATCTAACATAAGGACGGATCCATTAAGAGAAGAGTGGGGGCATGCTCCCCTACATGATTTTAAATTTGTTAATATTTTTTTATATAGAGACATGCATCTACATTATTTATGAGACATGCATGCTGATGAGCGTGGTTTCCACCTTGATTCGGGATTTAGCTCTTCTTCGCATGCTGGCAATAGACGAAGATAGCAGGATGACAAGATGTTAATTCCTCAACTCGATCGTCTCTAAGAAGAACGAAACAAAAAATGCTACTAGTCTCTAACAAGTCAAGGGATTGTGTTACAGCGATACAATTAATCTCCAAATTAAAGGTTGCTTAATTAATTAAATTAAAGAGGTTGGAGCATTTCCCATGATTTGCACTGCATCTGAGGAGAGCACGCCTAATAAATTTGCTAGAGCGTTTGCGTAAGCATTGCCTTACCTATATGTATATGTATGGTGAACTTTATAGGAACAGTTTCTTCCAATTAACCAGCTGACGACAGTCAATCTAAAAGAGCAGCTAGCTAGAGGAGGGCGGCTGCAATCGCTATTCATATACTAAATCCAACCGAAATTAAATATCACTTCTTGAGTATGTTAATTTCGCACATAATTTCATCCAACCGCGATCCCATATATGCCAACGAGTAGGGGTGTCCAAAAAGTCCGCGGCCCGGAACCCGGCCTGGGCCCGGGTCGGCGCAAACTCGCTCGGTCCCGATCCGGGCCCGGCCCGGAACAGTACCGGCTCCGATAAGGTGTCGGGCCCGGCCCGGGCAACAACGGTCACCCTGGGGTGACCGTTGTCGGAAAAAACCGGGCCTATCCGGCGCCAACAGTCACAATTTGTGACCGTTGGCGGAATTTGGCCGGGCCGGCTCGGTCCAGACCGGCCAAACGATCATATTTGGCCATTTGACCGATTTGCCCCTTAAAACGGTAAAAAAACGACTAGAATATGAGGGTTTTTAGTCATTTGCCTAGGGGGCTGCCTCTATAAATAGAGGGGGGTTTCACTTCATTTCCTCACAACAAAACTCATCTACTTCTCTCTAATACTCTCTTATACAATCTTATACTCTCTTATACTATCTTATAATCTCTTATATTTTCTAATACTTCTATCAAATGACTTCTGGATCTGATTATGAAGAGCAAAACCTATCTCCTACCGATCCAGAGATGAGTCCTCCTACAACAACCCCTCCTCCTACCGGTGTTAATTTTGAATCTGGTGGCGACGAATCTACTGCACCAAGAGCTCCTAAAAGGCCGAGATTCGATGTGCGGAATTTTTTTGAGAAGATAGACGTCACCAATGATGAACACGGTAGGATCATCTCCCAGAAGGTAAAATATGCGTTGTGCGGTCAGGTTTTCCAAGCTCATCATAAGAGCGGCACCAACCATCGCAAACGTCATATAGAAAAACACAACAAATACCAGAATCTTCAATGTGATATCCGACAGTCTATGATTTCCCAATCTTCCTCTTCTGGTACCCTCGGTAGTTGGAATTATGACGCTGCCCGAGCTAGGAAATGTGTAATCAGGTTTATTATTCTTAAAATCCTGCCTTTTAAATTAGTAGAAGATGATGAATTTGAAGATTTATTTAGAGTTAGTTTTTATCCCGTATTTACAAAATTTTCTCGTCAAACCTGTCAACGTGATATTTTAAAATATTATCAGGAGGAACAAGGAAAAATAATTTCTTATTTTAAAAATTTAAACTGTAAATTTTCTTTAACTTCTGATATTTAGACATCTAGAGTGCAAACTGATTATTTATGTATCACAGCACACTTGATTGATGAAAATTGGCAAATGTTTAAAAGATTTGTTTCTTTTATTGCAATTGAAGAGTCACACACTGGTATTAATATTATAAATTTAATAATTGAAGAACTTATATTGAAGAGTCACACACTGGTATTAATATTATAAATTTAATAATTGAAGAACTTATGAAACTAGAAATTAATCAAAGAATATTTTCTCTTTATTAATATTATAAATTTAATAATTGAAGAACTTATGAAACTAGAAATTAATCAAAGAATATTTTCTCTTTTACTAGATAATGCAAGTAATAATAATGTAGCTGTTGATTTTATTAAAACAACTCTGCCATTGTCACGTCATGATGACATTTTTCATGTTAGATGTATCTGTCATATTTTCAATTTAATTGTTCAAAGTACATTTTCTGAAATTAAACCCATGATAGAAAAGGTTAGAACAATTGCTAATATGCATAATGCTTCTGAAATGAGAATTAAAAGATGGAAACAATGTTGTAAAAGAAAAAAATTATAAGCCTAGACTAATTTTAAAAGATGTTGATCATAGGTGGAATTTCACATATGCAATGTTAAGTGTAGCAATAGAATATAAAGAAATTATAAATGTTTTTATAAATTTTTATGCTTCTAGTTCTAGCTCTGGTAGCACTTATGGAATAAGTGAAGATGAATGGACAATTATATGTAAATTAAATAAGATGTTGCAAGTTTTTTATGATGCTACTATGTTATTATCTGGTTGTTATTATCCAACTATTACTTTAGCTGCTTTACAAATTTTAAATATTCAAAATTTTTTTGCCAAATATCGTATGGATGATATTTTTGGAAATATAATTTTTCAAATGGAGAGCAAATTTAATAAGTATTTTAGGTATATTCCTCATATTTTTAGTTTAGGGGTTCTTATTGATCCATGTTTGAAGGATATTGGTCTTCGAAGTTTGTTACAGTCATTGTATGGTGGACAGATTATAGACTTAGATGATGGTTCCACTCTTACTGCTACTTCTCATCATTTATCTATTAGAAATTATTTTCAAACATTATATGATGAGTATGCAGCTCTACTTCTCATCATTTATCTATTAGAAATTATTTTCAAACATTATATGATGAGTATGCAGCTAGACATGTTGTAGCTTCACAACAGTCTACAGCTTCAGCGCCTTCGGCTTCGAGCACAAGTCAAGGTAAAAGTGTAAGTTTTGATAGGTATGCAATGGTAGCTGAACTAATTGGTGGATCTGAAATTGGTTCAGGATTAGAGGTTTCTGAATTAGATGAATATTTTTCTGCTTCCTTAGTTTAATGTCAATGAAATGCTTTAGATATTTTGTAATGGTGGAGAGTATATGGATCAGTTTCATATCCTATACTTTCCACCATGGTTCGTGACTTACTATCAGTGCAGATTTCGACGATAGCTTCGGAATCCGCCTTCAGCACATCATGACATTTGATCGACGACCACATGACATGCTCAGATCTGTATACTGTACAAACGGTGATGTGCTTACAAGACTGGTGAAGGTACGAGAAGCGAACACAAGGCATCTATCAGATTGCTATAATTGAAGATAAATTTGAAGAGTTTGGACTAGCAGATAGATATAAAGATTAGATAATATTCATCAAATTGTAATTTTTATTTCTTAGCTTTAAATTTGTAATGAATTATTTCGAAAAAAGTTACAAATGATAGTGATATGAGTGAGTAGGTGTCAACCTAGTTGGGATTTACTCATCTATTGTGATGCGACGAATTTCGAAATAAATTTATACTTGTAAAGGATTTACTGACTATTAATAAAGAAATTATTTTTATTATCTTTTATTTCTATAATTTTTTGTACTCGTAATTTATGTCATTTTAAGTTATTAAAAAAATTTATGTAATTTTCTATGTATATTTTATGATTTATTGTTTTTTTAATTTAAAAAAAAATTAAAAATAAAAAAAACTAGCCCGGGCCGGGTTACCCGGGCCCAAGTCTAGGCTTCGGTTTTGCCCGGCCCGGGCCTGGTTTCCCTGTCCCGATGGACACCCCTACCAACCAATGAGAGTCCGAATTGGATCGATATAGCTTCAAGCTCCGCCACCATATTATTGTGATGACCTGGCTAGATCAAGAGCAGCAAAAAACCAAGATCGGATCCCATTAATTAACCTTATGAGTCTCGCGTCAGAATGCCAGCACTAGCTCGTCATAAAGATATTAATTAATTTCACCGCCTCATCCGTACGTGTTGATTTTCATCCACCCAGTAGGTAGGAGGCTTGATCCCCCCCACTTGCAACTCAACTTTCTTCTTCGTTAATTTCAACCTACTCATCTTGAAAGCAATAAAATTAAACCAACAGAAGAGTACGATGATCTTCGGTCGCTAGTACTGTTGAAAGAATTTTGAAACTTTTTTAGTCAAATAAAAATTATATTTAATTTCATTGGGTACATGCTAATTTATTTTAATTTATCAACCTTTTCCCATCAATAGATAACAATGATACCGACAATTAATAAATGAGATCGAGAAATCAAGAGAAGAGTACACGAACAAAAAACTAGAGATTTTAACTTAGCTGAAAAGTAGCTTTATATATGTTAGTTTCTACACTAAGCCTTGTTGGGCTCTGAAGCCTCTTTTTAGGGTCCGAGAAAGAAGGTCATACAAACACAAAATTAACAGCACGAACACAAACAACAAATTTTACGTGGTTCGACAAGTTTTCTACGTCCACGGGGTAAGAAGGGGATGCGTTTTCACTAATAGAGAAGAAAGTACAAATAGAAATTACAAAATCACTCAAAATCTCTCAAACAAATCTCTCACACAAGCCCCAAACAAATTGCTCAAAAAACCCTCTTTTCTGTGCACCAAATAACCCCTTTTCAACCTTACTAAACCCTAAAAACGTGTTTCAATATATATCAAAACACAAACCCAATCAGAACAGGAAACCAGAATCAGGCCCAAACCCGACTGGCGGTCGCCCGCCGAAACCATCACGGTCGACCGGATAGAACGACAGAAACCAAAAACTGACGCAGCGCGGAAGTAGTAACCTCGGAATCCACCGAGGGTGTTCTCTGAATCCACAAAGAACGATCTTCGAATCCACGAAGAGCTTCGAATCCACGAAGAAATATTGAGGAAAAACGAAATTTTATTAATCAAAAGATATGCCTCTAGGGCTTACAAGACTCTTCTTAAATAGAAAAAGAAACAAGACTCCTACAAGGACTCTAATTCCTACAAGGACTCTCAACTTACCAAAAATGGTAAATAATTCCTAAAACATTAAAACTCTTAAAAAGACTCCTTATGATTAGGAAAGTCCTCCGGTCAAATCTGAGATCAAATCGGATTTGTTTCCTAAACAAAACAGACTCCTAAAATATTACCAAAAATAGTAAAAACGGACAAAACAGTAAATATCTCTCAAACCGTAAGGAATTTGACAAAACTGAGAACGCAAACCGAACCCGAATGGGTTGGTTTGGATGGCTCCGTCTCGTCGAGATAGTCGATTTTCATATATAATTCGTCCAATTCCGACGTACGGTTTGAAAGTTACGGCCGTTTCTTCGAAACAAGTTATTTTCTTCGACAATGCCCGCATTTGGGCTTACGACTGTCCCACTTTGACATAAACGTGTCTGCTAAGTGTTCTACATCAAAAACCTATTACAGGGTCCGCGGTCAACCGGACCTAGCCTCGCGGTTGACCGACCAAAGATCCAGAAACTACCCTGTAGCGTGCACGTTTCCGGTCGACCGCACTCTTGGTCGCGGTCGACCGGGAAACCTCCAAACTGTTTCCTTCGTCAAATTTCCTGATCTTCAACCCCGTTTTCGCCATTTCTACAAGCCTGTCTAACACTCATCATATCCGGTGTATTACACTCATTCTTAATTCGTTCTCAAAAAAAATTATAACTATTGATTAGATAATTAATGGTTATAATTATGTAGTGGTTCCTCCATTATTTTTTTTAATAGCGGAGAAAATCCGAATCCAAGCATCTGTTAATATTAAGCAGGAATAGAGGCTACAACTCTGTCTATGTTAAACAAACAAAGAAAGAAAAACAATTTTCTGTGCTGTTTATTGACGTGTTTCTTTTGATGCCACTTCTCGGTCTGATAATTATTAAATTTGCAAAAAAATAAAATAAAATAAAGCTATTAAGTCAGAAGGCTATTCTGTTTGTACCATGAGTTTATGTGTTATGAATCTCTGGTTCAGGACTTTTGCATAACGTAGTCATGCATGAGACGTGCGAATTTTTTATACGTCACATGGGTTACTTAAGTTTCCTCAAATTCATGTCTTATTTAATTATTATTGTTCTTGAAGTATGTTTGATTTAATTTTTTTGACAAGGACTAAGCTTTTAGTCTTAACCATTCATATTGACGCAAATGGAATATGATCACATCTACCAATAATAACTAGAACTTTGAAGAAGTTTGTGATAAATGGTAACATAAATTCCACGTGATCTGTGCATGATAATAAAAATCTGGTATGCTTTAATTATCCAACTAAACATTCAAAGATTGTGGCAACGCAATTGCAATCGTGTATCAAACTACTTCCTTCACCTCAACTCTTGATACTTCACCAACTTTCCTTTTCTCTCTCCCTCCGATTAAGAACAGACCTTAACTCGGAGTAAATGAAAATATTTAGCGGTTGATTTATTAATGTAAACTGAAAAAAGAAAGGTTTATCTTATGGAAATTGAGAACCTCATCACCAAAAAAAAAAAAAACAAATTGGTTTTGTGTTGTTTTTTAATCCTTTAGCTTTATTCCTTGTACGTATTTCTAAAGCTTTGTGTTTTCATGTTAGTCCTTAAAAAACATAGGAGTGGAAGAAAAGTAACTTTTTAGTTCAGTTATAAATTATCCAAAGACAGAATACCGATTACCAAATTAAAATGGAATCGAGGTAGAGTGGGATGAGTACACACTTCTTATTTGGACACACATCTATAAATGTGGCTTTAACTTGTGAATTATGGAAGTAGTTATAACTATTCAGAAACGAATAAAGTGGATATGAAAATAAATTATATTGCTTGAACTTTTTTTTTTTACCGTGTGCTAGATATATAGAATAAGGAATCGTGCTTATACAAAATAAATTATATTTCTTACATTTGAATCAGTTGATATGAAAATAGATGTAATAAATTAATAGGCTCTTGTCAAACTCGGGACATTAATTACCACTCGTAATTGTAAGCTTCTACAAATCTTTCCTAAAATTAATAATAAAAGGAGTAATTAATGGTTAAAATGAACTATCCAAATATAAGGGTGATATAGTATGTATGTATTGGATGTAACTAACAATACGCATATCATACCTCTTTCGCTATGGAGAAATCATGTCCTAAGCAGGTAGTTTAATGAGTCGTCTTAAATAAAGATTTGAGAACCAAATTGATCAAAATGTTTAAGACCTTACAAATTTATGCCAAATTTCTAACTAAATCGATGCTACTCTTTCTTAACTTCTCCAACGTGGAACTCTACTCACATATGAATGTCCAACAATCTTTACTTTCATTTATGAATAATAACTCTAATCATCCATGCATCAAACTCATTAAATATTTGCTAACTTGATCTGAACTGATAACTATGGAGAGACGACAAAGCTACATCGTAGAATCTTTCACCACATGAAGACTAACTCAACCATAATCCACTCCTATAGGAAAATATCAAACATCATCCATTATCCATAAATTAACTTAAATATGATCTAAACTAGTAACACATTCAACCATAATATATTAACATGACTATCAACTTTTATAATGTCTTTCAATATCTATGGTCCAATTAGACCTTGAACCATCTAAGTTCGTCTAAAATCATGGAATAACAACATACCATGTGAAGGCCGTGACACAACTTGTCAAAAGAAATCGGAGGAGGTTAAGAATCAAACTGACCTATTGTTAGGAATTGATTCTAATTTTCTGTTTTAGTCCACCAATCTTTTCCAACTTTTTTTTTAAACATGAAGCTTAAATTACACAAGAAATTTCGAACATTTTTTCCATAACAAGATGATGAAAATTGAAAGAATTAACCCTAGCTAACCACCTCTCTTGTGCTTCGCAGGTGACTTTATGGCTTCACCCGTCCCTTTGTCTTTTGGCTGTTAACTCAAAACATGAAGAGTCCACTATTTCTGTCCTACTCTCTCTTGGCCACCCGTCTCCTCAAATGTTCCCCCAGTTCCTCCGCATATGCGAACAAAAACCACAAACTCGAAGGGGCCAAAAGAGTGAAATAAAACTAGGGTCGACGAGTGATTGGGACCCCCACACACGAGGATCAAGGGGGCATGAAAGCAGACCGATCGAATAAGAAAATAAAAATAAAAATAAAATGTAGAGAGGCAAAGTCGAGTTCCTCTTTTCTTTTCAGAACCTTTGACCACAAGCATACTCTGTTGAAGCTTTTTCATGTACCCCCACATAAACTTCCCTAATTGATCTCTTTCTAATGAAATAGAACTTTCATAGTTTTATAGGAAGCTTTTGTAATTTCTTTGTTTATTTTACTCAAGGATGAAATCAGAGAAAAAGTTATTCAATGGATCATATTCATTGAACACATGCGGTGCAAAGAATCACAGTTCTTGAATCAGTACAAAACATGAGAGGTGGAGTAAGTATACTGTTCTTTAGCCTTGTAAGCGATGGATTAGAACCATTGGAAAGTTTTTTGAGCCAGGGGCTTCTCTTAATCCAATATTTCACGATTAGAAATTTTAATGTTCCACTAGTCCTTTTATTACTGGTCATCTCTTACTAATAAAAAATATTTTATATTATTTAGATTAAAAATCAATGAAATAAATAAGACCATTGCTCTTACTAATTCAATCTTTTCTCTAAACCTTCTCTTCTTCATTAGCTAAATAATTGCCATATACTTGTTGCTTTTATTCCTTAATATAACAAATTTTGATGCCCCATAATCGAATAGATACTTGATAGATGGAGAGATACAATAAACTCTTATCCAAGTAAAATGATGAAATGTCACTCCAAAAGGATTATTTCTTTTAGATTTGCCTACGATATCTATTTCTGATAAAATATTATGAATGAATTATATGAATTCCTACAATAGAGTCCTTAGCATTTTTATTACTGATAAAGAATAAAACTAGAAAATTATTCTCTTTTATCTTGCAGATGGCTTATCCAATCCTTCAAGTTTAAAATTACGTGGGCTACATATAATTAAACATATAAAACTTTAGAACAAGTTATTAAAAAAATGGAACAAATTAAACATATTAAGTAAAATAATGAGGGTTTATATGCAAAACAAAGAAGCAAATAAACTTTATAATATTCTCATTTCTTGTCTCTTCCTTTTTCCTCCAAAGTTCTTCATGTGCGTGTAGATGTAGGCCAACCAAGATCATCACCATTAATGCTCCTCGAATCTCAACTGCCCTCTTCTTCTTTCTCTTTTCCTCTCTTTAATATTTGCTAATTTTGCAATATAAATAGACATTATACAGAGAAGAGAGAGGTCGTTAATGGAAAAGGGCCTTCTCGTTAAAGGAGGAAAGAGAGACACCAGACCGCTTCTCCTCAAGCTGGGCTTTGCTCTGGCTCTCTCCCTTGGTGGGTATTTTGCTTCTCGGTTTCGCTCTAAGCCCAGACTCCCTCCTCCTAAACCCAAATCATCTTCAGGTTTTATCTCCTTTTTATTTTTATTTTTTTGGGTCAAATTTTTTGGGGGAAACTAACAGGGAAATTCGAAATAGGTAGTTCTGGGTCAGAGGAATCAACTGCAAAATCCTCAGCCATGGCTGCCAGTGGACTCAAAGATGAGCTCCACATATTAACAAGTGTAAGGGTTTCAAAATTCCTATATTTGCGTATTTTAGTGATTTTAAGATTTTTTTCCTAATTTGTTTTTTGTTGATTATTTGTCAGTTGAGTCAAAACCCTTTCACAGGTGCAATTTGCAACTATTTTTGTGTGTTTTTGCTACGTTTTAGAGGATGGTTTTGGCTAATTTTTTCTTTAAATTCGTCTTTTGTTGATTAGTATGATCTCTATTGATAGGTGCAATTTGCAGATGGTTTTATGTGTTTTTGGTGATTATTAGAAGACGGCCTTGATAAATTTGTTGATGTTTGGTGAATTATGTTAAATAGGAGGAAACTTTGTCCAAAATCATCAATGGAACATCCAACATCACTCCCAATTTTACTTCAGTTACGGATGGTGATGAGGAGGGATTTTTGATGCCAGATTATAACAAGGTTGTGATGAATGGATTTCAGGAAAACCCAGATAGAAATACTGTAGAACCAATGGAGAAATATTCAGAGCTTGAAGAGAGATTAGAAATGGAGAAAGAGATTGCCTATCTTAGGAACTTGGTTGAGGCACTGAAAGAAAGGGAGAGAAACCTTGAGATCCAATTGATTGAATACTATGGATTGAAAGAGCAAGAGGCTTCTTTGAGAGAGCTCGAGAATCGATTGAAGGTGAACGCAATGGAGTCGAAGCTCTTGAATTTGAAAATTGAGTCTCTGCAAGCTGATAATCAAAAGCTACAAGCTCAGGCATCGGAGTACCCAAAAGTAGTATCTGAACTTGAGTCCGCAAGAAATGAGATTAAACTATTGAAGAAGAGGTTGAAATTTGATGGAGAACAAGCTAGGGAGAAGTTAGCTGCTCTTCATCAGAGGATCACTGAGATGTTAGATAGAGAGCGCAAGCATGGGGAACATGATATTGAGGTGGAGAAGAAGTTGAAGAGGTTGAAGGAGCTGGAGGACGAAGTGGTGACTCTCAGAAATGTAAATTCTAGTCTAGTAGAAGAAAATTTGAAGTTTGCTCAGCTATTAGAGTCTACAAAGATTGAAGCCTCTTCCAATTCTCATCGCAACGAGGTAATCTTAATTTATTTCTGTTACCCTTTTGCATTTGTTCATGATTTGTTAAGGATTTTCCTCTGATATTTGGTTTAAAGAGTGATCGTTGTGCACAAAAGAACTTAAGACTAATCCAAATATCTGAGTGTGTTCTTCAATCAAGTTCTCTTCATTCGCATCATATGTCTTCTTAAAGCCTACTATAAGATTGTAATAGCAGGTTCTTTAAAGAAGGTTACTCCTCTCTTGGTTACCTGTCATAAGACTGATGTAGTAGGCTCTTCTTTATTATTAAAAATATGAGTAAATGGGGGTGGGTGTGTCCCTCCGTGGTGTTGTTTGGTGTGTCGCTAATGCGGTACACAATCAAGCCAATAGCTGTGTTTGTTAATGATCTAGGCTATGTAGTAACCTAGATGTATGTCACATCAGCAACAGTCCAGCCAGCATCGTGCAAGGACACACCGACCTCTGTTTACAATAAAAATTAAAGATATTAATTAGTTTCTCTATTCATTTTAGCCGGTCCAAATGCAACCTTTATTGTCTCATATCTTGCATTATTTGGTTTTAGTTTCTCCTGAACACTTGGTTCCTGGGATTTAGTCCTTGGCATTACTAAGTCTCTAGAAATTCCGAAACCGTATAATATTATATTTTGGTGACTCTCAGTCTAGCTCTTTTATTCATAAAATCATTGCAGGAGAGAGCATTGGAGGAAGCCGGTCACTTGAGAGAAGAGAACGAGGAGCTGAAGAAGGAACTCGAGCAGCTTCAGATAGATCGCTGTGCAGATGTAGAAGAATTAGTATACCTCAGATGGGTCAATGCTTGCCTCCGTTATGAGTTAAGAAATTATCAACCACCTCAAGGGAAAACAGTAGCAAGGGATCTAAGTAAATGCTTGAGTCCCGAATCAGAAAAGAAAGCCAAACAACTCATACTAGAGTATGGTAGCAGTGAGAAAAACATTAGTCTCTTTGATTTTGACACTGAATCTTGCTCTTCTTCACAAACATCGAGTGAAGAATGCAGTGATGCTTCAATTGCTTCGACAAAGAATAGCCGTTCAGGGAAATCAAAGCTTGTTAGCAAGCTTAAAAAGCTTGTACTGGGGACTGACAACAATAGAAACAAAGTCAATTCAATAGATGGAAATTCTATGAGAAGGGCATCTGTATCTCCTTGCTCCTTTGAAGACACGAATACAAGAAGAAATTCATTTGAGAGTGTCTCTTCGAGCACCACTGTCGAAAATGCTTTGAGGATTGAACAAAACCCTAACGCCCAACCACCAAGATATCCTAGGTCATCTTTGGATGTGCAAAGAACGAGGAACATTGAGTTAGAAGTTGATGAGAATTTGGCTCAACGATGCAGGAGTGATCTTGGGACTTCTCGTGGGCATATGAGAATGATCTCTGAGGATTGTTTGAGTGATTTTAGTCACAATCTTGATCATGAACATGGTAATGCCCCTGAGAAGGTCAAGCTGAAGAAATTTGCCGATGTTTTGAAGGGTTCAAAGCCCTTCAAGTCAAAGAGGAGATTGGCATCTTTCAGTTAAAAGGATACAGGCATCACTTAATTCTGATGAATGTGTTGGCTGTATATTTCATGCCAGCATTCAACAGGTGACTATATTGGTATTGGTATTAGTTTAGGCAGCAGCTGAATTGAAATGAAGTATAGAGGACCTGTGACACTTCACTATACAATCTATGTTGCAGACAAATAAATTAATGGATGGCTTTGCTAGGGGCTGTGTGATGTTGAAAAGCTTGCTTGTGTAGTAAGTTAAATTGTTTAGATATACAACCTAAGAACAATTTGTTCTTATGCTGGATACGCATCAAAGCATCGTTTACATTACATAATAATATGGCAAGGGTTCTCAATTTATGAGGTGAAAGTTATCGTTACGCCTGTGGCAAACTTGCCATTGTGAATACAAAAACCTATAGAAGTTGGCTTATTAGCGTGCTTGTGGTAGGTGTTAACAACACATTGGAAAACAGAACCACACATTGATGAAAGAAAGAAGGAAACGAAGAGAAAATAACTACAGAAACAAATTCATGAGTTTCAGCAATCAAAGTCATTACATATGTCCGTCCTTGGTGTAATACATATAACTTGGTCATGATGCTCCTAATCATCAATAAGGATTACAGGCAAACTACCATATCATAATCTTTATTTCAGTAGAGGTGATTATAGGGATCCAATTCTAGATCCCATTACTTTGTCTACTCCATGTAAACTAGACTATACAAACAATAGGAAATATTAGGAGCTTGCTATATCATCTGAAACCTGAGAATGCAATGGAGTATGTTGGTTGATCAAGCCAGCGGGACAAAGACCGAGCCTTGATTCAGAATATTGGCATCTTTATGTCTAGCTTTCATTTCAATTAAATTCTGTTGTTAGCAATCTCCTCTATTACTAATTTTATGACTAGTATTATCCTTGTTCCTGCCTCTATCTATGTTTAGTATATACTTTGTTTTATTGCCATCTTTATACTAGCTTGTGTTGGATTTAATCTAATAAATCTATTTGTGGGCACATATGATTAATCAATGTGTATTGTTATCTTTCAGGATAACCCACTAAAGTGATCAATTAAGTTGGGTTAATGGGTATTTAAATATAATCATGGGGTTATATGTACAGATACCAGGTTGTAATTGTGATTTATTGAGGGGCTAAATTACAAAAGTACAACATCTATAAATAAGGGGTTATGGTCCCTAATCTAGGGTTACTACATTCTCTAATTCTCTTCAACCCCATCTAAGAGAGAAATCCCTAATCTAGGGTTACTACATTCTCTAATTCTCTTCAACCCCATCTAAGAGAGAAATTCGGTTTTAGAGAAAAAACCCTAAGGTTAGAAGATCCAAAACCCAAAATCAAGATCAAGCAATGGATTCAGGTATAAGCTTCCGCTCTTTTAGATTTTTGTTAATCTCTTTGAATTAATCATGGCTATATGGTTTTAGATCTCAAGTTTTATGATGTAGATCTAACAAGTGGTATCAGAGCCACCTTGATTAATTCTTAGGGATTTAAGTTTTATTGAGTTTTTGATCTTAAATCTCTGGTTAAAGATTCAATTTTTTGGGTTCGGATGAACAGTAAGGAAAAAATTTTTGTTCGGATGAACAGTAACGAAAAGTTTTTCGGATGAACAGTAACTGAAAAATCGCCGGTAAACAGTAACTTTTTGGAATTTTTTGGAATTTTCTTTGATTTTTTCTTCAATTTTTTCCAATTCTGGATCTGTTTTGAAAATAAAAATCAAAGATTTTTGGGTTTGACGGCGGCGGTTTCAGTTTGAAACCCTAAGGGTTCATGGCGAAAATTGAGGAGGTGGTTACCTCAAACGAACCTCGCGTTCGTTCAATTTTAACCGAGCTTCGCGCTCAACGAACCTCGCGTTCGTTCTAAGGTGAACCTCGCGTTCAACTCAGGTGAGCGTCAAGCTCAATTTTAACGAACCTCGCGTTCGTTCTAAGGTGAACCTCGCGTTCAACTCAGGTGAGCGTCAAGCTCAATTTTAACGAACCTCGCGTTCGTTCTAAGGTGAACCTCGCGTTCAACTCAGGTGAGCGTCAAGCTCAATTTTTTAACGAACCTCGCGTTCGTTCTCGAACTTTGCGTTCGTTCTCAGGTCGAACATTGCGTTCGTACTAAGGTTGAACTCTGCGTTCATTTTTTAACGAACTTTGCGTTCGTTCTCAGGTCGAACATTGCGTTCGTATTCAGGATGAACTCTGCGTTCAATTTTAAACGAACTTTGCGTTCGTTCTTAGGTCGAACATTGCGTTCGTACTAAGGTTGAACTCTGCGTTCATATTTTAAACGAACCTTGCGTTCGTTCTCAGGTCGAACATTGCGTTCGTACTCAGGTTGAACTCTGCGTTCATTTTTTAACGAACTTTGCGTTCGTTCTCAGGTCGAACATTGCGTTCGTACTCAGGTTGAACTCTGCGTTCATTTTTTAAACGAACCTTGCGTTCGTTCTCAGGACGAACTTTGCGTTCGTACTCAGGTTGAACTCTGCGTTCATTTTTAAACGAACCTTGCGTTCGTTCTCAGGACGAACTTTGCGTTCGTTCGAAGTTAAGGGAACTTCGTGTTCATTATGGTTAAGCCTCGGCTTTTCATGGGTCCACTTTGGTATACTTAATTTATTCAATTAAGTTATGGGCCCTAATTAAGCTGTAAGACCCCAATTAAGTTTTGGAAATTCAGTTGATTTAAAAAAAAAATTTTTTTTTAAATCTAATTCGGTTCTTAATCAATTATTTAATTCAAATATTATGACACTAAGGTATTAAGGTTGTCTCTCACTCCAATTGATTAATTGAAACAAGAAGTTGCCAAAGTAACCTCTCTTGTGTAGGTTGTTCATAAGGAATGTGAGATGTTTGTGTGTATGCTTTCGTATAAATATTTAATCGGCCCAAAGGAAGGTTAATATTTATTTAGACTGTATACTCATCTGCGATGATAAGCGTGTGACAATTATAAGGTTTACATGTGAATAATGAATCGATCCAAAGATAGTTTCATTATTTGACATGAGTTATTGTCAATGTTTGATCATTGCAACAAGGTATCACTTACAAGTTAATATTACTGTCCAAAGACTTGATATTAATGTTGTGCCGGTATCTTGGATGGGGATTGTCATTATTTGAATTTTATTGATTATGGTTATTGATGTGAGCATTCTTTTGTTTTATTTCAGCTAATGCATCTGCTGCAACAATTTCTGCTAACATCAACTCAATTCCCATGCTAAATGGGACAAACTTCAAGGTTTGGAAAGAGAACATATTAATTGTTCTTGGCTGCATGGATCTTGACTATGCATTAAGAACTGAACAACCCCAACCTCTCAATGCGGATAGCACTCCTGATGCAAAGAAGGAGCATGAGAAGTGGGAGCGTTCAAATCGCATGAGTCTTATGATCATTAAGCGCGGCGTTCCGGAAGCCTTCAGGGGCATAGAATCCGAAGGGATTACTAAGGCTAAAGATTTCCTTGCCGAAATTGAGAAGCGTTTTGCGAAAAACGATAAGGTAGAAACAAGCACGCTTTTAGCTCGCTTGATTTCAATGAAGTATAAGGGCAAAGGAAATATCAGGGAGTACATTATGGAAATGTCTCATATTGCTTCAAAGCTTAAGGCACTTAAACTCGATCTTTGTGACGAGTTATTAGTGCATCTGGTTTTGTTGTCTCTTCCTGCACAGTTTAACCAATTTAAGGTCAGTTATAACTGTCAAAAGGAGAAATGGACTCTAAATGAGCTCATTTCATACTGTGTGCAAGAAGAAGACAGGTTGAAGCAAGATAAGACAGAAAGTGCTCATTTGGCCTATGCCTCTAAGGATAAGGGCAAGAAAAGGAAGAATGATAAGGAAGCTGCTAAGGGTCCAGTTGAGAAGAAACAACATAAGGATAATCAGGGTTGTTTCTTCTGTAAGAAGCCTGGACATGTAAAGAAGGACTGTACAAAATATCACGCCTGGCGTGATAATAAGGGTACGTTCCTTGCTTTGGTCTGTTCTGAGGTTAATTTAGCTTCAGTACCTAGAAACACTTGGTGGTTAGACTCTGGTGCTACTACTCACATAAGTGTTTCTATGCAGGGTTGCCTGAGCTACCGAAAGCCAAGTGATGTTGAAAGACACATCTTTGTGGGCGACGGACAATCGGTAGATGTGGAAGCAATTGGGCACTTTAGGTTGTTGTTAGGAACTGGTTATTATTTGGATTTAAAAGATACTTTTGTAGTACCGTCTTTTAGACGGAATTTGGTTTCTGTTTCTGTATTGGACAAATCAGGTTATTCTTGTTCATTTGGAAACAGTCAATTCAGTTTATCTTTTAATTCAAATGTTGTGGGAACCGGTTACTTGAGTATTTATGACAACCTATATTTGCTTGATACAATTGCTTCTTACAATGAATCCTTGCATGTGGAATCACGTGGTACTAAGCGTAAATTAAATAAGGAAAATTCGGCGACATTATGGCATAAGCGCTTAGGTCATATCTCAAAAGGTAGAATTGAGCGTCTTGTGTCTGATGGCATTTTGGATTCCCTTGATTTTTCGGACTTCGACGTATGTGTTGAATGTATCAAGGGAAAACAGACCAAAGTGAAAAGATTAGGTGCCAACAGATCTTCGGATGTCTTAGAATTGATACATACGGATATTTGTGGGCCATTCCCTACGGAATCCTGGAATGGTCAACAATATTTTATATCATTCATAGACGATTACTCACGTTATGGGCACCTATATCTTATTCATGAAAAATCTGAGTCTCTGGACATGTTCAAAGCCTATAAAGCTGAAGTTGAGAATCAACTCAACAGAAGAATTAAAACCGTCAGATCTGATCGTGGTGGTGAGTACTACGGTAGATATGATGGTTCAGGTGAACAACGTCCAGGACCATTTGCTAGATACCTAGAGGAATACGGTATCGTCCCACAGTACACCATGCCGGGTTCACCTAGCATGAATGGTGTAGCTGAAAGACGAAACAGGACTCTTAAGGATATGGTAAGAAGTATGATTGCTCATTCTTCTTTACCAGAGTCACTCTGGGGAGAAGCACTTAAGACAGCAGCTTACATTCTGAATAGAGTACCAAGTAAAGCAGTTGCTAAAACACCTTATGAGCTTTGGACTGGTCGAAAGCCCAGTTTAAAGCATTTACATATTTGGGGATGTCCAGCTGAGGCAAGGCCTTATAGGCCAAATGAAAAGAAATTGGACTCCAAAACAGTTAGCAGCTACTTTATTGGATACTCTGAACGCTCTAGGGGCTTTAAGTTTTATGATCCCACTATAAGGAACATTTTTGAGACGGGAACAGCAACATTCTTTG